GATTCGCCCCGAAGGGCAAAAGTAAGTAACTTTATATGTTATCACCACTACTTCATATGATATGATGAAAAAAACTAATAATTTTTCTTAATCACTTGTGCAGGAACTGGGTGGTTGTGTCGGGTGGTAGCGCACGGCTACTCAACGGCATCCTGGGTCTTCTGTGCAGGCAACACTTCCCTGGCATTGTCACGTACGCATCGAAGACGGAGCCGGCCTACTCATTTGACCACTACGTCGTCGCCATCGATGCGGAGTACCCCAACAAGGCGGCGCGGGTGAAGGCAGAGTTTTGGGTAAGTCTCCCTCGCACAACATTACTCAATACGTCGCATTCATTGGACTTTTCTTGAAATAATGAATGGATACATCGCTTTTGTATGCAGACTTATTATAGATGCGATGAGGGATTTGAGGCCAGGGCGGAGCAGGTGACTACCAAAGCCTGTAAAAAACTCGTCACCGACATGCATCACGAGGTGCGCATCCAGGCCATCGTAACCTACTACGGGTCGAAGCTTGGAGAGAGGAAAACCAAGAAAGACGCAAGAGAGATGCAGCTGACCCGGGAGCAGTACCTTGAGGTAAATGAAGAACATCAATATTGATTCGTTTTGAGATTAAGTTGGTTTAATTTGATCTTCTTATTTGTCCAATACTTGATGACGTGTAGATGATTCCCTGGTGGTGCCAAGCGTATTCCGAGTGCTGGGCGATGATGGTGGAGAGGTGGTTCACGGAGGAGTACCTCAAGATGCACAGGGATGCCCGCGACCGTCGTTTACAGATGCAAGGTCCAGCACACCATCAAGGCAGCCGCAGCCTCGCCGGATACAAATAAGCATGGGTACATGAATTCATTTATTTATTGTGACGCTCAGTTCTGCCTGATTTCTAATCATCGTGCTGTCTTTCTCGCAGTCGGCGTCACATAGTGGCCAGGCTTGCTCGGACTTCCAGGCATGGTGTATGGCCCATAAGGGCAAGGCGACGTTCGACGTCTCCTTCAACCTAGAGGACCCGTCCGAGGCATACACGAACCCGAGCGTCCACTCCTGCATCAATGAGTACAATGAGGTGGCGAGGTCGCTCCATGGGTCAGACCACGATCCGAGCACCCAGGACTTCGATGGAGAGGCCGTCATGAGGGCGGGGCAAGGCAAGAAGCATGGGCGGTTCTGGCTTGGCGATGGCGTCATCAACACGGCCTCTACTCCCTCTCTCTCTCTCCCAGATCCGAGCACGGAGCACGAGCGAGAGCCCGCCCATTCGCACACGGCCGACCACTGCACAACACCGGGTCGACGCACTCGAGGTTATTCCTGTTTTACTCATCATACATTGATCTTTACACACCTTAATTAGCTTTGCATTACTTAAACATTGGAGTGAAATATTGCAGGCCCGGCTAGAAGAAGAAATGAGGCAACGTCAGGAGCTGGCGGCCCAGCTAGACGCCGAGCGGACCGAGCAGCAGGCCTAGGCGCAGAGGCTGACGGACATTACGGAGTTCCTACAAGGGCTTGGGCAACGTGTAGGCTTCTCTCTGCCATCTGGGTTGTTGGTTCCACCGCCGCCTCCGCGTCCTACAGCTGCAGCTACTCCTGTGAGGATGAAAGTTTTTTACTTTCGCTTGTGCTTTGCTTGTATGGCTTCTACCTTCCTAGATTAGCTATCCAAATAATCTTGTCTCACATGCAATCTTTACTCCTTTGTGCAGTCTCCATCTGACGGTGGTTCGAATAATCCACCTCATGTATCTCTGAATGATGGAGCTAGGCCTTCACCACAGTCGCAGTGCCTGAGATGAGTGCACGTTGTATTTTTTTCATTTGTTGTTCACTTGGTGATGGACTTGTGATGCACTTGTGGACTTTGATGGACTTGTGGATTTATTTGGATGGACTTGAGCACTTATTATTATATATGTGATATATATTATGATGGATGCGATATGTGCGGATGGATGTGTGGATGGATGAGATATATATGTGATGGATGAGATATATATGTGATATATGTTTGTATGAATTTATTTGTCATGATGGAATGTAAAAAAAAATCAAAATTGCCGTTTTGAGTCACTTTGCCGAGTGTTGCACTCGGCAAAAGACCCCGTTGCCGAGTGCCATGGTCACAGCACTCGGCAAAGCTGGAAAAATGGGCGCTCGGAAAACCGTTTTTCCAGCTTTGCCGAGTGCCATGACCATGGCACTCGGCAAAGATTTAAAAAAAAATCAAACTTTGCCGAGCGCCGGCCAGGGGCACTCGGCAAAGAATTTTTTTTAAAAAAAATAAAAAATCTTTGCCGAGTGCCTGCAGGGTTGGCACTCGACAAAGAGACCGTCAACGGGGCCGGCGCCGTGACGATAGCTTTTCTTTGCCGAGTGCCCGATAAAAGACACTCGGCAAAGAGGGCTTTGCCGATCAATTTTTTGCCGTGTGTTCTTTGCCGAGTGCCGCACTCGGCAAAGGCTTTGCCGAGTGCAATTTGGCCTTTACTGAGTGCCTCAGGCACTCGGCAAAGAACCTGAATCCAGTAGTGACGTCCTTGATGATAGGTGCATGTCATCAGGGATGGCTTTAGTGAAGAAGCTTTTCTGATATGTGACTCCACAGTGACGTGTGTTGTTCGTAGCATATAGTAGAGACGCGTTTATTTGAACCATGTCGATCACTAATGTTGGAACCCATCAATGGCTCTCTTTTTTTATCCATGTCTTTAATGCGAATAACCATACAGGCCCGGTCCTGTCAGTTCAGACACATGGAGCGAAGCTAGGAAGGTGGGCCCTTTAATACAACTCTAAAAAATTATTCGCTGCCCTAGTTAACATTATATCCTGACTCCGTAAGGATTCCTAAATCCCTGTATTCTAATGAAAAAGATTAGGGTGAAAAGCAAATTAAATCTTGATTAAATATATATACTTGACATACATCAATCAAAGGGGAGCAATTATTGGATACCTCCGTACGAAACTTTGGATGTCTTATCTACGACTGCCCAAGTGCCTGAACGGAGAGTGGGCTGGACGCCGCCGGCCAGCAGGGGGGGCGCACGACCGATCGATGATGGCACAAGCACAACACGCAGTCGCTGGTCGCAGCGGAGCGGCCACGTGGCAGAAGGGCAAACCTCGATGCGCCGACGCGGAAGCCAAAACGATGGACGCGTTTCACTTTCACGTACGTGCCTCTCCGTGTCCTGGGCTCCTGGCTTTCCTATGGGCTATTGGGCTCTTATACCTACATCTTACAAACATGGGTTTGGGCCGAGGACGGTAGGAGCGAGCCCCCGTAAGTGATGGTTTGTTTAGTTGCTGCTCAAGTTTGGCCGCACCTAAGCTGTCTGAATCTCATCTGCGAGTGAATGTTCTCTTTGCTACACCCGGTGATCTCTCGTCGTTGCTCTTCTTTGTGTGAACGTACCCCTCGTTCGGATTCGTGTGCAACTGTAAAAAATACTGTTCCGGCTGATTGTTGTGAGAGAAAAATACTGTTCTGGCAGGACATAAACAGTGATTTCGTGAGAGAAAAAACAAGCCAGTCAGCTGGCTTAAAGCCAGCCGAACAAGCCCGTTTCCCATCGCAGTTCAGAGTTCAGACTTTCGGCATCTCGAGTCATGCATGCGTGCATCAACTGAGAAAAATTGAAACCGTTTCCCATCGCAGTTGTTCGATCGGGGAAGAGTTCGTTTTCTTTTTGTGAACCTGTTCCGGGAATAGTTGTGTTCATCTTTGAACAGAGGATGCATTAAACTAAACTCTTTGGAGAATCTAAGTTTATTGTTTTTTATAAGGAGAATGTAAGTTTATTGTTGGTCCCTTACATGGATATGAGTAATTAGCCACCGTATTTTTTTAATTTCCCCCAAAGAACAACGAATTATTATATTCAAGAGAAGCATGTTCGCTTGGGCAGTTGGGGCTACTAAAGCCACTGCCGGCGTCGCCCTTATCCGTTCCCCCCTTAATCCTTCCGCAAAGTTTTTGCCCAGTAGTCGGCATGTCGATGACTTTTCTACCACGTATAAACGTCCGCACGAACGGTCTTGCACCTGCCCACTCGCTCGTGCGGCCGGGGAAGTCTTCGGATTGAATCAAGAACCGAATCCGTTGGGGCCCCTTGAACTCGAGGGCCCTGTGCCACCGCACTGCTCGAACCCCCCCAGGGCCGGGGCTGTAACCATATTAACTTTTCACTTAACTCCACCTTATGTGTAAGCTTTCTCAAGTCTCAAACAATAAAATAGGAGTGAGCTACAATTATTTAGTTTAATTATGGTCGCTAGTATTCGAACTCGAGACTTCTAGCCTTGATACCATAGAGTTGGATGCACAAACTAGTTCAACCTAAAAGCTACACTCTGGTAGACCCTAAGTACTCAGAGAGTAGGCTTAGGCAATATAATAAGATCATATGCAGCATGGCAGAGTGAGTGGAAGAAGCCAATGGCGGCGAGGACCCTCTAGGTTGGGGATGACGCTCCGCGTGGGGATAACGCTGGTGTGCCGAGTTTCGATGAGCTATCCCTGATCGGAATGGCATCTCTCTCGATATGTCGTAATTGATGATTCAAGATGTTTCATAGGATACAATGCTTTGATAGTTTGTTTTCCGGTGTTGCATTGGCTCATTATTTGGAGTTCTGGTAGTTGATTTGGATGTTGCAAACATTTGATCAAGAAGTTTTGATTTTTGATATTTCATGTTCAATTTTTTTGATGTTACAGTAGTTAGCATGTGATGTTCCATCCATAATTTTTTATGCTGCATAGTTGATGATTTTGTTTTGGTTTTTGAGATTGAAATATTGCATGCAACATGGCACTTATGTTGCTGTGGCTTTTTCTATCTTGAATTGGGCTGCAAATGCAAGAGAGAGAAAGCAATATTTTTAGTGCACTTTTTGGATGTTGCAGACACTAGTATTTTTTTATTGCAGACGTTTTTACCCCATGTCGTCACAGATGTTTTCTCATGTTGTAATAGAGTTTTACCCGTAGGGCCATTCGATGTTAGACCTGGACGTCGGACGTCCAGGTACAGTTATTCTTTTGGGAGTGATGGTGATGCCCCTGATGAGAAGCCCCGTCTTCCAATGAGATAACCCCTGGCGCAAGAAGACCGAAACATTTCCAGTCCGGCCCGGATGTGATTTAACCTCCCCAACCTTGATCGGCAGCCACTTGCCCCTTTCCATGATCTGCTGGAGATACACGCTGCCCTTCTGAGTTACACCATCGGCGGACATGACCCCGGCTTCCACCGGCTCATTCCATCCATCGGCTCCCTTCTCAAGCTTCAGCTCGAAGGAAACCTCGTATGTTACATCTGGATTAAGATAGGACTGCTCCAGGTACCCAAAGATATCCAACCAGGCGACGCCCAGCAGCTTCGCGACCTTGATCGTGGTACCAGCATCACTGATGATCGATGTCAACATCTCAGGTTAAATGTACAGCACGAAAACAAGTCTAGCTAGTTCCTGACAATAGATCTTGGAGAGATCACAAATTACTACTGAATATGCATATAGCTATTCTTTATATATGAAAACACATAGATATATAGATAGATATTCTTTATCATTTCTAGTACCATTCTTCTACCCAGCTCCAGTATCTAGTGTCATCACCCCAAGTGATGGACAGGTCTATAGGGAATATCTTGAAGCAGTTCTTGTTCTCATTGTCCACCCAGTACTTCTGCATGTTTGCAACATAATTTATAGCATGCACGGATCTATCGTTCTCAGAAAACAAAATGTCATAAGGTTCTGGATCAGTTCATGTTTAGAGTTGTAGCGAGTTTGTATCTAACCTTTTTATTGGCCAACAAGATCCCTGTTTCGCGAACAAGAGTCTCTTCAGCAGGAATCTCCTGGCCAACTATCTCTTCGAACATGTGAAGGCTAGTCTTGGATTTAGACTGCATGTTATTAGAAGTGCTAGTGCCTAGGGAGGACGTTACTGCGCCCATTGTAAGTTGCTCTGGACTTCTCCTAAAGCATATGGAAAACCAGTTCAGACAGGTTATATGGTATATATACACTGTATACCTGCAGGGTAATCAGAAGCCTAGAACGATGAGCTAATAGAGCATCAGATTCGTGACAAAGGACGACGGAATTTACCTTTTTCTTACCTTTCGGCACCCATCATGTTCAATGGATGCCATGCTTTTGTTAAAATTCGTGTCCAAAACATGTACGAGAAAGGTTGAGCATGGAATTGTATTTGTAGCATAAAGCAGAGATAGTAAGAGACCTTTGTAACCTCCTCATACGAGATGAATATTGTTGTAAGAGAAGTGCTCTTTGGAATCCTTTTATAAAATGCACGAATTCTAAAGTAAACTTAATTAACTAAATAATTTTGTTAATGATTAATGCTTGTTTTGTCTAGGCCTAGCCCGGCCGTGCCCATCTGAGCTGTGACACCCCAAAAATTATAAACCATGATATGAGCATCGTTTGCATCCTCCTTGCTTGGGGAGGTTGAAACCAAAATACTATTCCATTATCTAAAAAATTAGCATTACTAGTCTATCAACCCCTGCTCCACACAGGCTAATAATTTTAATAGACATTAGTATTAAAAATTCATGAAAAATATGACCATAGATAATAATCAAAAGTATTTATCTTATTCTCTCTCATTTATTAAATATTTTAATATAATATTCATATAGATATGTCTTATCTTATCTGGTTGTGGTAGACTTTAGTTAGCAATTATTTTGTACACCTTTTCATCCATATTAAATTTTGCATCGCATCTCCATATATATTTGACATATGTTTAATTGAACTCTTAGTTTGAACTATGTGTTTAACATGAAAATCGGTATTCTCATTGCTTTCTGCATACATATATACATATTTTGCTTGGTGAACAAACATAATGCATGTATACATTAGGTTAGTATTTTTATATTAACAATGACAGAAATAGGTAATTTAGAAGCATAAATTATTGTACTTTGGGATATTTTTTATAATGCATATGTAGATGAATTAGATGCTTATTTAAATATTATTTTTTGTACTGACATACGTGGGTAATTTAGATGAAGACTAGGTGTTAATTTAAGTTAGTTTTTATAATGACAGAGGTGGGTAGTTTAGATACTAAATTAGGGGTTACTTTAGGCTATTTTTATAATGGCGGAGGTGGATAATTTTTAGAAAACATAATAGATCCAATGGCTAAATTATTAGAATCTATCCGATTGATGGCTGGATGTTTCTAATTTTTATGAGAATTTCTATGATATATTTTTTAGCGCATCTCGTGAGGATTAATGTACTGTGGAGGTTCTAAAACGAGGCTCTAATTAGTAATAGCAAAATTTGCACCTAAACAAGTTGATGTCCCTAAAAAATAGAAATTATTTTTTTAACAGAGAATAACTTAAGTTTTACGGAAAGCCGAAATTTTAGTCAGCTGATACGAAGTCCACGGCCGTTCGGACAACTAAACGAGAAACATGCATAGGCAACAAAGTTTCCCAAGATTCTCCAAAGGAATTGGGGCGCCTGTATGTAAACCAAAGCAATCACGTATATAGCTCCAAGCTAAAATTGCAAGATGGCATTGAAAGAAAATAATGATTTGCAACAAAGCATGCTCCCCAAATACGGTTTTTTTTTTAATTCCCTCTGCGTACCCCTCCGCGTTGCTCTCTCTCGGCTGACAAAAAAAAAAGCCGTCAAAAAAAGCTGTGTTCTTTGGCAGGAGCGCCATTGCTTCTTACTTTCCTCCTTCGAGGCTTTTGAGGCTTCCTTCCGTTGAAGGGCGTTGGACGGCGGTAGGTGGAGGCCCAGATGCTCTACAAATGATGCTGCCAGCTCGAAGGGAGATCGGTGTGTCCGGTGAAATTCTGGTTGGTGTGCTCCTCCCACTCTTAGTCCCTTTGCAGTTGTGGCGGGCCCTCGTGGCTTAATAGAGATAAATTCTGATGTGGAGTTGGAGGGCAGCAGCCGAGAGGCGTAGCTACGAGGGGTTGTGGGGTGGCACAATGGTCTTTGTGAAGCAGGCAAGCAACATGCTTCGTGGAGAATGATGATGGATCTTGCTCTCACCTGTGCAAGTCTTAGGTCTTTGTCCACGAGTTTTGTGTGTATGAGAGTTGCTTTCTTCCTCTTGTCTCTCTGTTGTGTTCCATGTATCTGTTGCGTTGTGCTCGCAATTTCTTTGTAATCCATAGATTTGCCACACATTATTAATGACAAGTGTAGGTTGGCAATCGCCTACCGTAGTTTTCTCGGGAAAAAAAGCACGCACCCGTTGCAGCCCGCTAGCTGAATAGTATAACCTATTATATATGATACACTTGTCACAGAAAAATCTTTCATGCCTCAGGATGATATGACAGCATAGATACTGTTTATAGATATCATGGGTTGAGACTGCTCTTGCAAAGGTTCTCAAGGTTAAATACTAGTGAATATACCACTGGCCTGAGTTTCTGTGTACTAGCACTCTAGCAGGTATAGCTATGGGATAACAAACCAATAGAAATTAGTTGAAGTTCTTTTGAATTTAAAGGAAATTGGTTCATTTCAATACAAATTGCGCAGTCCCATCATCGGACATGCTTCCTCAGGGAGTAATTAACTTCAATGAAATCACGATAGGGAAGGTAGCACCGAGACACAGCACCTTCACTAGTTGACTCCACCTAATGGGCGCCCTAAATCACAACTAATTGTGACTGATGCATGGACCCCATATCAGTTTACAGTTCGAAAAAACTCTAGCTAAAATGCATACACATGTTAGCAAAGCATAATCAATTCTTAGTTAGCTCTATCTGATGCTGTCAATTTTGTCGTCTTGGAATTTGTCTTTGCTGGATCCAGCAATAATCTCGTATTAGCATCAAAATGAAGGTGGTGCACCACTCAAACAACACGCAATTTCCTTCTGTTATATGATCAGCATTAGTCAACTAACTAACAAAATTTTGGTGCACCCTGCATGGTGCCTGTGCACCCCATGTCCCTGACACCTGTCGATCAAAAGCAATATGCTGCTGATTTACTAGGCACCGGCACCGTTACAGCGTTACCCATTACCCAATGATGCTTCAGAGCTTCAATCTCTGTTAAGCCAATGGTAAATGTAAAGAAAAAGACATGCTTGGCTTTTCACAACATCATCATTTGAAATCCCCAGACTCCAATCGCTTTTGACATAATCGTGTAATGCATTCCGATTTTGGTTAATGTTAAATGCATTCCGTTTGTAGCTCATGAAAATATATATACATATACATATCTTCTAGAAATTAGATTTAGCCATAGAAAAATAGAAAAATATCTAAAAATATGAAAAACCACAAACATTCTACTCCCTCCATTGTAAGTCATTTAGACTTTCCTAGATACTTAGATTTAATTATAGGCAAATTTTGCTACAGGACATCCAACTTAAATGAATTGCCTATTTTACACCGCCAACTCCAATATTTGCTAGACACCGCACTCATTAAAATATTAAATCTAAGGTATGGGAGAGAGAAGAGGGGGAATAGACGATTTTGCCCATGACTCATTTAACCCACAGGTTCTTCCCTTTCTCCCATTGTGCCCTCTGCGCTCAGGGAATGGCCACTTGCGGCCATAGGTCGAGTAAAAAGGAGATTTTAGGTGTGCTTGGGGCATTTTTGTGATACCGAGAAGGAGCGACAGAAGCGGCGGATGGCTTTGGTGTGGAGATCGATGACGGACGGCCCGAGCCTCGGTAATGGCGAATGCATTGGCGAAGCTGCCTGTTGGAGTAGTGAGGAGGCGTGTAGAGTGGTCTGGTGGAAGCGGTGTGACCATGCAAAAATTGTAGAGTCCAACGGAAGCCGCAAAGATGACCGGATGAGGGAGATCGCACCCTTGTGTAGAACTTGGTAATGGCGGCGGTGAAGCTAGGTGTTGGCTTTAGAGCGGGCAAGGTGCCACAATGAGAGGCGGAGTGGTGGTAGTGTGTGTGTGGGGGTGCTCCTAGGCTGACTAAATAGAGAAAAGGCAAGGGAGGGACCGGGCCATGAAGCTTGGACGATCATTACTGGTAGTTGGGATTTTGCTTGCGATTGATGAGACGAGGAAAAGAGGAAAGGGAGGGGTAATTGCGCGGTAATAGCAGACGTTAGAGCACAATTGATTGCAATATTATTGAACGAGGGAGAAGGAATGTGCACCATGGCTTGAGCCGGTTCAGTCGGAAGAGAGAGAAGGGGGGAGGAGATGGGGCGCTGAGAAGGAGGTCTAGTTGCGTAGTAAAAGCTACGCATTTAGAAAAGCCCGAAGGATTTACAATTTGAAATTGAGGGAGTAATAGATATCTAAACATGTTTTAAAATCTCTCCACAATAAAAACATGAGGTCAACAAAGCATGAATGTATTCAACATTAATTTGTATGTTGCATTCATATTGGTTGCATTGCATCTCATATTTTTATTGTAAAAAGTTTCATGTACTGGAATTTTCTGAATTTTTGAATAGTTTTTCTATTTTTCTAGAGCTAAATATATTTTATGGAAGCTTCTAGATATATTTTTCATGATTTCCAAATATTTTAGTTTTTTTTAGAAACTTCCAAATATTTTAGTTAGCTTTTTTTTAAGAGAATATTTTAGTTAGCTTTTTGGTCTCGTAGTATTATGACCTTTTCCTTTGTGATTATGATATGACTCTTGTTTTTTCGTTTCCTCTTCGGCCCAATACTGCTTGGCCTGTTGCCCCGTATCCACCCTCCGACCTCGATCCCTAATCGACTCAATCGCCAAAATTCGACTCAATCGCCAATCATATTCAAAAGAGAAATCTTTCCCTTCCAAGGGACTCCTCTCCACCCGTGCCGTGCGCCAAACGAGAAGGCAACACATCTAGGGAACACCGGCAGCGATCGACACAACGTGACGGCGATGCATGCGGCGACGTCCGGTCGACGACTATCCAAGCGGCCTGATGGCCTTGCGGGTTGCGGCTTCGATTCCGCCGAATGCTTTGCTTCCTCAACAGCCACGGCCTCGACGCCGTTTCCCACGAGTACGTTTGCCGTTTCCTTTACCAGCATATGCATGTACCGGTTCTAATCTAGGGTATGGTGTCAATTAGTAGTACGTAGGATCCAAATGCCTTGCGACGATCCACCCTGATTGCTGTTTTTATTCGATTCG